TCAACGCGTCACTCAGAGTAACGTTTTTCACAAATTGTCACTCCTCTGACGTTTTCTTCTTTCCTCTGCATCCGATGTGTCTAAAATTATTTAGTTTGGTAAATAGTTTTTTTATTAATTTATTTTAGAAATTTTTATTTTTTATTTATTTATTATGATGGATCAGCCTTAATTATCTCATATAAGACATTTAAAGCTTTTAACGAGGCAAAATTAAAAGTAGGATAACATTGTTAAAACAAAAAGTTTAGTGTACAGAATATATAATAATTAGCATATTATTTTAAAAAAAAAATTGCCCGAAAAAGGGTGTATTATCAATTATGAGCACGTGAATAAGAATAAGTTTCCACTATGATTCTCTCCTAAAATGATTGGAGTAGTGCTGCATGTGTATCGCATATGCCATACAGCATTATTTGGTTGGACAAATGTATATATATTTTCCTTAAATTACTGCTTTATTACATAAGGAGGATCTTGATCTTGAGAAAGGAAAGAGATATAAAGCTGCACATGAACCTAAAGTTATAAGCCAAAAGATGAAGGAGCAGCACAAGAGCAAATGGTTTACCAAGTGCACTCTATCTCTATGTAAAACAAACAAAATGGACATTATTTGTCAGGGTTTTCTGCACAACTGTTAAGATCATCTTTTATTTTACCTTCTTTCTTGGTTTCATATTTTGATGTTTAACCATTCTCAAACATTGCAAACCGCAATATTCCGTTAAGTGCTCAGGAGTTTATTAGGTGTCATACATCATTCTAATTTTGATTTCATCATTATAAACTTTACAATATTTACAAACTGCAATAATAGCTCTACGTACGAATTAGATAGTACCGTTAACTAGTAAAAACATTATAATAAAAGTTAAGTTTAATAAGTATATATATTTTTAGTTTTTATAAAATAAATGTTTTAATTTTTAACTATTTATGTATTTATTGGAAGTTTCAGATTATACTTATTAGTATTGATTTTTTTTTTCTTCATACAAAACTAAACATTCAAACTAAAATTTATTAATTCATGTATGTGATATTATGTTAATATATGGTACTGTTAATTTTTTTTCTTCCAAACTTTTGTAATAAATGTTCATTATCTACTTTAAAATGAATGTTTATATTAAAAATAATGATTTTGAATTTTATAAAATTTAATTTATAGAATTCTTTTCTTTTATGAAAACTAAAAACAATTATTTTAATTTAGAGGAATGAAAAATAAGTACATGCAAAACTATAACAACAAAAATCAAAACTCAATTAATTTATAGAAATTAAAAATATATTTAAATTTATAAATCTTCACTATTCAATTGTCCTTAATGGTTTGCTTCGCGTATCCTTTAAAGTGAAAATTGTATTTGAAAAGATAAACGTGAAATTAGTTAAACTTTTGTATGACGATTCAATTCAAGCACCTACTTAACAAAGGGTATATGTAATGAATCTAAATCTAAATTCATTGATGGAATAAAGAGAGAGAATAAAAATAAAGGAAGTGTGAAGTTGTAAAAGAGAGAAAATTAGCTGGGAGAAGTGAACTTTTTATCTTTGGGTCTGCACTGGAACGATGGGTTATTGTTGTTAAGTTGCAGAAAGAAAATGAATTAGGTAAGGCTTTGGTCAGAAAGCGATTGCACGGATTTGACATAATGACACATGGCCATGTGCTCCTGTTCTCCTCCCACATGCCCATTTTCTTTGCAGCAAAACATGATCCACACATAAGTCGTATTTGAGCAGGCCTAGCTACCTCAATCAAAACACTGACACTTTTTTTCTCATTGCCGTAGAACCAATACTCCAATTTCCTCGCCTCGTTATGAAATTGTGGATGCCATCATCTCAACTATTATATGTTTGATTATTTGTTGACTGTGAGAATCTAGTTTCTCCTGTTCGTTCATATACTTGCTTTGGTTCTTTGTTTTAGAACTTACACATAGCCCATATGCACGGTTTTAACTTTTCACCATGCAACGCTGGAATCAAAGTTTTGTTTGAGTAAGTGTTGAAAAGTAATTTTAAGATTTTTAATTTTATTTGAATACAACAAAATAAACCATTTTTATGTAGTAATCAACTTGAAAGAGAAAAAAAATGTTGAAAAAAATAAACATCAATTTTAAACTTTCAGCTTCATAAAACTCATTTTTCGTGAAAAAATTTGTTTACAAATTTATACCGGTGTCAAACATCCAACTTATCTTGCAAATAACTTTTTTGCTGAAAAAACAACTGAAAGTAGAAAAATTATCTTTCTCAAACATGCTCTTAATTTCACTGCTTTTTATTTTTTATTTTTTTTATATATATATAAATGTTACTGTCTCTTGAGATGTAAATATTATACTACTTTTCTTTTCATATGTCAAAAATATAAATAAATTAAAATATTTACCTTTGAAAAAAAATATATTACACTATCATCCTTTTATATGTTAAATGTAGAATAAATCATATATTTCTTTCTTTAGAAATATGAATATTATACTACCACTCTACTCTTATATTAAAACATATAATTTATTTAATTTAATTTAACATCACTAAAGAATATTAATTATAATATTTTAAAATATATTTTCATTAAAATATGTTAAAATATTTTTAGTTGATTAAGTTGTTATTCACTTACTTGATAATGTTTATTATAAAGTATATAATTAATAATGAAATTAAGTATGGAATTATTAAAATTAATTATACATTACATTTAATAAATATAATAATTAATACTGTGTAAAAATATCAGTTTATCTAAATATTTGTAAAAATGCTATATTGATAACATCAATTAAAATATAAACCAAGTAAAACAAGGACGCAGCTAATAAGCTAAGGAACAAAACGGACTAAAATATGCAAAACAACCATTTTTCAATCCTTCTTAAAAAAAATTCAGAAGAGGGTCGTTTTTGTTTTTACAGAGAAGTTCCTTATGATGTTTTATGGACACGAAGGCCCATAGGCTTAAAAACTGGCCCATTCCAGACATTGAGGTAGTGCTTTACAACTACTTACTAGACACACTTGTTTGGTGGTACATGACATGACATAGCTAGAAATATCTCTACATCTAAAATAGGGATGGCAACGGGGCGGGTCGGGTATGGGTTTCATGATACCCGTCCCCATCCTCGAGAATTAAACTCATTCTCGTCCCCGTTCCCATACCCGTCGGGTATAGATTTTCATTCCCATACTTGACCCCGTCAGGTATCGGGTATATCCGTACCCGTACCTGTCAAATTTTTTTTTTTTTGTAAAAAAAGATATTTTTAAATTATTTTTTTATTATATTATAATTATAATTGGATTATTTCTTTATCTCATATTATAATAAATAATTACACATAAAAAAATATTAAAATTTTTAATACGGGGACGGGTACGGGTATGGGTACGGGACGGGTAAGTACATACCCGTACCTGTACCCGTACCCGATTTAATATATCGGATTTTACCCGTACCCGTACCCGTACCCGGTCAAATCGAGTATTCCTCGTCAAAGTCGAGACGGGTTCGAATATTACTCGCGGATACGGGTATATTTTTCATCCCTAATCTAAAACACTAACTACATATGCGGGAATTGTTAACCGGCCACCAGTTTGGTTGGAGCTCATCATTCCAAGTTAGAACGGGGTACGAGGTATTTTGTTTAGTTGTATTTTTAATTTTCAAATAATAATAATTATTATTATTATTGTTTTAAAGTGATTTTGATAGAAGTGATTGCAGCAAGAAAAAAAATGAAATTTTAAAAATATATAGATTTTCATTATGGATAGTGGAAAGTTTTAAAATTATAAAGTATATATAAGGATAAAAGTGTGTGACAAAAAGTGAAAACCAAATACTAGTTACTAAATGAAATCTTTTTATAATAAGTATAGGTGCTATATTATTTATAGCACTTATCTGAATGATTTACTCAAACAAGTTATTTGTTGCACATATTTAAAATTTTAATAATAAATGCAAAATAGAAAAATATTCGGTGAAAGAGCCATTGTAACATTTATAAATATAAAAACGTGGATGTTATTGACATAATTGAAGGGTCGAGAAATCAGTATAGGAGCCCAAATATAACATTCACAAACTAACCAATAACATTGCTTGCATATATTTTTTTCAATGTATGATTAAATTATATCTTGCGTAGTTAAAATTGACATTAATTAGTATGAGTTGAAAATCCATATTATTGAGTAGGATGATAAATATGCATACCATATTACTTAAAAATGTAATTTGCAATAAAATATTTAATAAACTACTTCAATTTAATTGCTTTTAATATATTTTATTTAAACCATAAATTCAATAAATAAAAAATAACAAATCACATAGGATGATAAATATGCATACCATATTAATTAAAAAAATGTAATTTGCAATAAAATATTTAATAAAATACTTCAATTTAATTGCTTTTAATATATTTTATTTGAACCATAAATTCAATAAATAAAAATAACAAATCACATTCTTACTTTTATTGAAAAGTGCACATAATATATACTAAAAATATTATCTATAAGATATCGTAAATCGATAAATTTATTTTTAATATATGTTTTTCATTTTCAAATATTTTTATATTTACTGAACTTTGTGGTATGCATAAATATATATATATATATATATACCTTACTACAAATTTCTTTCGGTTCATATATAAGAGATTAACCTCATTCATAGTGCTTAAACCGTTGTAGAACATGAATGTTTTATATATCTAAATCTTTTTTACATGAGATTAATGGAGTCAAACAATTTTTACAAGTGACATCTCTCCTTGAGCCCTGTCCTAACATGTTACCAAAATTGATTTTAATTTATATATACTTCATCATTCGTTTAGTGAGTCTTTTACCTTCTCTTATTCAATAAATGAATCTCCCGTCCCATAAGTTACGTGCGATATTATTTATTTTTCGTTAAGAAAAAGGAGTTTTATTTCCGAATGCATATATTTTTTGAAAAAGAAATTTATTGCATAATATGGGGAGGGGTTAGTTCTAATAGAGCACTTAACATAATCCCTCACAAGAGTAATTGTTGGGCACAGTCAAACGACTGCTATAGCCTATAAGAAGAGCAATGAAGTAATAGACGTAGCAGTGTAATGTAACCTTACAACTAACATGGTCTCCTAGGTTCAGCTGTTGCTGAAAAGTGAGAACCACGCTCTATCTATAATACTATATAATTCTCAACTCAAACCAGAGAAGAATGGAATACCAGTGCTGTTCAACCAATCATTGCCTTGAATAAACTCTCCAACAGTGAATTGGCTTGCCTCAGTAGAACTGTTAATGACCCTATAACCTGGCCACGTAACTCTACCACTTGTGTTTGAACCAGGACCTCGATTCATGTACTCCCCATAATACAATGTATCCAATGCAAATGTATCATTCCATTCCAACCACCCTGCTGGCTCAATCAGATCCTCCATGTAGGATTTTAGAAAAACAGTCCTAGAGTACATTTTCCAAGGACGTCCTAGGTAGCTCTTGAACGAGGTTTTGACTGGGATCAAATCTGCAGCAGCTGCAACCTTGCAGTTTAAGATGGATATGCCAGTGTTTTGGTTAGGGTCTTCTCTCCCTTGTGCAGTGAAAAGGTTCTTTTGGTTTTGGTTCGGCTTGCGTGCGTATAAGTTGCAGTTTTGGAAGACCACTGCTGCATTGCCGAAAATGAAGTCTACAGTGCCATAAATGTCGCATTCACGATAGAATTGGCGTAGGGAATGGACGTAGAGAGTGTCTTGGTAGCCAACAAAACTGCATTGGTAGAAAGCTGAGAAGTCAGCACCACTTCTTAGGGCCACAGCTTGGTGTTTCTCGGGTCCTGCTGAGTTCTCAAAGGTTATACCCTTCGCTATGAATCCCGCTCCCACAACAGCTGCAAAATACCATAATTGTCAAACTTGATATGATTCAACAATAGAGACCAAACTTTGCTGGGAGACCTCAAAAAGAGGTATATATCGTTGAAAAGAAAAAGAAGACTAAAAGCCTCTTAACTTTATTCTACACGTTCTTTATCATCATCACATGAGTGTTAAAAGATCATGAAATTCACTTTTCTTATATCCATGTTCTCTCAAAAGAAAAAATTAAAGCATTTTTTTATTATTTGTTAAAAGCAAAAGCAGAAAAGCAAAAGGCACAGCATAGAAGAAATAACAAGCAAAAGTGGACCTAATGGCACTGAAAAGTAGTTGGTTGTGATGAGTATTATGCAGATCCAGAATAGAGTTCTCTTTTACTTGGGCGTGGATAGACATGTGGGCCCTATACTTTGACCCAACACAGAGGTAACACCACTTTTCGTGACAATATAAATAAAAATAATGAGAAGCAAAGTCCAAACATAGTCATGCCTGCGTGTATGTTTTTTTGTCATAAAAAAAGTTTTAATTACTCTATACTTATGCAGAACTTTATCTTTTTTTTTCCCTCTTTATTACTATAGTCCTGCGCCTGCGTGTGTTATACTCACTTTCTTTCTACAAAATGGTGTCGCCACTGGTAGCTGGGAAAATATAAATAAAAAAGAAAACAAACTTTCGGACAGGATATCGCAAATCTAGGTTTATCATTGCCAATTTTAACAAGAAATTAGTAAGAAATTTGATTGATTTACGGTACATATATATTTGCTAATTAATGTCATTGTAATTGATCTACATGGCCTTATGGAGTAGTCCAGTGATGTTGCTGGATTGCAATATAATTGAAAAACTAAACAGAACACTTAAAAACACAAAATTAGAGTCTTTCAAATTGTTTCCCAGAAGAAGAATAATTGACAATGATTAAGTAGAAAAACATGCATTTTAGAACCTAGTTTGCCAGGATTCTATCCAATAATACCATCATAAATAAACTCACTTAGAAATAAAATGGCAGGCACACATGCCTTTGAAAATAACTTAATAACTAATTGACGAGAAAGAGATATAATGGAGACTGGTATATTAAAAAAAATTCAATTTCCACAAATTTAATGAGTATAGTTAAAAATATTTTAATATAAACTCCATATACGGATTCATATTATCTGCTCATAAGTAAAAGAAGGCCAGTATAAATACACAAATCGATTGGCCTGACCCGCACTCAGAATCTCAGAGTGTGTTGCTCATGAGTGTGAATAAAACAATCATCTTAGTCTATACAATATAATAACATATTTCTTTGTACGTGCTGTTGTTTTGGTGCTCTCAATTGACTCCCGTGTGCGTTGGATAACAGATATATAATATTTAATATATCTTTTCATTTTTAATGACACGTTAATATAACATTTTGCTAATTATTCATGGACCCGTTATTGTTACACACGTACAAAAATATTATCATTACGCCATAAAATTGCGGCATAATGAGAGTGGAATAACATTTTGGCCGTGATATATGATACAATGTACGAGTGCCTTTTGTATTTTATTAATAATTTTAAGGAAATTAAATATATATATATATATATAAATATATAATATGTTATTTTAATTTTTAAATAAAATATTTAAAGGCAAAGAAGACTTTTAATTTATTAATTATAATTTAAATAAAAAATATTCATTGAAAAATCCCAACAGAAAATACGAGAGTAAGAAATTAATTAAAAGTCATACTCAAAGAAAAAATTAAAGATTACATCCACAACCCAAGATCATGGATGCTGGAGGCGAAAAAAGGTCAAAAGTATTGATAAGAATTCCCGTAGGAAGGGGAAAATAGATAACAACTCAGCTGAATATATATAGACTATTTAGTAAATTAAGGTATCCTACATATTTATGCTCTAGCTAAAGAACTGACATTGGTTCTATACTATAGCACAATATACTTAAGAGTAAGTATATACGCAATTTTAATATTAAAGAAAATGTAGTATAGTTAATGCAAAATCATACTGTAGTTTTGTTCTGTACTTAAAATTGTGGTTTTTCTTACTAAGAATACTATGAATATATTTTAAAAAATCTAGGAATCTAAGCTGACCAAAACGTTCTAAACTGAATTTTTATGTTTCTTTTTTAATATTGTGATTAGGTGGTGCCATTTATGCAGAATAAGAAATTTATAAAAATATTTCTTTCAATTTTATAAAAAAGCAATTGATATAAGGAAATTAAGTTTAATCATTATTTGAGTATAGTTCTACCCCACAAGTTATGTAATTATTCACAACTAATACGCGTCCTATCATGTGTCTTTGAACCGAATATTTTTGGCTTAGTAAATGGTCTTAGCAGGCATAAGCAAATATATACTTTATTTTTCCTTTGGAAAGTAACTACCTGATTTTGTTTAAACTGTTTGTTTCGCCCCATTGCCTTTCAATCACTACAGTTCGTACATCCTTGCTTGTGATTGGAAAGAGGGGTTGGAAACTGTAATCTGACCTTTCTATGTAAAACATATATACATGGACGATGGACCCATCGCCTATCATTTTTCAAATTTTCAGCACTATGTTCAATCACGAGAAGCAGAATCCTCGCAGATAAGCCTTTTTAATCTTTTGAACTTTCCTTGGTTCTATTTCGAACATTCAAAACCAAATTGTGCTCTAGTGTCTCACTCACAAGATAAGAAGTAGCATTTTACTATTGGCCATGACAAGTTGTCAAAATATTTATAGCCATTTGTTAAATAACCGACACTGGCTTGTGATATCTGAATTTTAAGGAGTGGAGCGCATCAAGAAATGCATCAACCTCCAACGCTATTTTTCAATACTGGAACTGCACGGTGCCTTGAAAAACACATGGTATTCTGCTCAAACCATTTAAAATGATTTTCCTACATTATGTATTTTACCTACCAAAATTAATTTAGTAATAATTTTTAAGTGAACATGTGGGCTCATCATCAAGTTGCCATTTTGGTTGTCTTGTTCTAACTTTTTCTAATGATTTCATCTTTGTCTTTGGCCTCATAGTAAACCATTCATCAAACTTTGATGAAATCTCACTCATGACCACACTGATTATTTTTCTATTTTCATCTTTCAAAGGTGGAATACGAAACCAAGCGCTGAGCAGAAGTAAGTTAACTAATGCAAAAAAGCAATAGTAGCAGAAGGAAGAAGGAAGACATACCAACAGTAGCTGATTGAAAAGTGGTCCACCCGTCCACAACATTCCTACTGCCTTTCACCACTGTCTTTCCAATCCCGTCTCCAACAAACATCAAATTGGTCTTCTTCCTGATTACTTCCACATTCTCCAAGTATGCCCCCGCCTTTATGTGTATCACAAACCTGTTATCACACATTTTTAACATCCCAATTAATTTGGCAGCATGATACATCATGTTCATGTCACAATAACTTTGCGTGACAATTAAGATTCAAATATGTTTAACAATTACACTGCGAGCACGATATATATCTCATGTCAGAATAACTTTGTGTGAGAATGAGAATAGCAATACATTAAGAACATTGGATGTCACTAATTATATAAAAGGGCCGTGACTTTAAAAAATTACATATATAATTTATGATAAGATTTAATATATTACATTAACAAAAAAATATAATATCATATACCATATCTATACTTTTTTCTCATTTCTCTTTCTGTCTCTCATTAGATATATAATAACACTGATATACGAAATATTTTTCCTTTACCATGCAAATCGTATATACTGGTGTAATGTTGCTAATAACTCATTACAATGATGTGAAAATAACTTTTTGTTGCGAACCTGGTTGTGCTGGAGTTGGGAGCCACAGCGAGTGCTTCCCCTATAGTGGTGAAATTTCCAGTGCCATCTTTGGCAACGACGAGATCGAACTTGGTCTCATTCACAGAACCTTGGAGAAGCTTTCGGTCATTGGAGGAAAGCCACGAGGGGAACCCCTTTTTCATCTTTCCATATTCAGGGAACACCTCAGATTTCGACGTTGCTTTTTTCATTCCAGGCACTTTCTTCAGCATGGCCAACGAGTTGCTAACGTGATGCGATATCTCAAGCAGCTTCTCCTCGAACTTGTCCCTCACTTTTCCTTTGCTGTAAGCGAAGCCATCGAGGCACGTGTACAAGTTGGTCATTGCTGCGCTCAGCAGAGTCTGCAAGTCGTGGTGGCGCTTGGACCCTATGGTGGTGTTGGAGAGATCGTCGATGGTGGTTCTGAGCTCCACGGTGGTGTCATCAAAGAGTTTGAGACAGTCGTCGAGAGCTCTTTGGTCAAGTGAGTTGAGATTTCTGAGGTTCTTTCTGAGGCCGCTGCAGTTGTAGGATGATGATCTCACCTCGTGCATGGTGTGGTTGACCACTGAGGATATCACTTGTGGGACGGATTTTGAGGCTAGATCTGGGAATGTGGCAAGGGTTGAGACACATAGGTCGGGGTAGAGTGTTCCTTGGCATGTGGATTGGGCTACTTGTATGTGCTTTTGGAAATGGAGGTGTTTTTCTGGGGTGAGAGTGAAAGGAGTTCCTACCAAGAGTAGCGCGGAAATCACGGTCAGAATGGATGCAAGTGTGAGGTTGTTCATGGTATAGGAGGATAGATTAAGTGATGTGATAGCTAGGAGGTGGATTACTGTGTCAGTGCGATTGTGCAGCTAGGATGGTACATGCTGTGGATAAATATATAGTGGTTGGCCTGTAACATTCACGTTGACAGTGTGAAAATGTACTTTTTTCAAATAGAGATAGTCATAATGTGAGATTAAATATAATTGAACTCTCGAGTGTGGAACGTGTTATTATGTGTGAGAGCCTTAATCATTTTAGCTCCTGCATTAAGTACTGGAGCTTTATCAAAGTCCCTCTTGTTTCACACATTCTGTAGCTGAAAGAGTAATGACTTTGGCAGTACATGTTTTTTCCTTTCAAAGGGTGAGTTTTATAGAAAATATGGTAAAAATAACTTGAAATGTGCAATTGATGATGAGTAAAACGAGTCATATAAAATTCTAGAATGTTTGATCCCAAAGCATATAATGATTTGATATTCATTTTCAGCTGTGACCTTAATTCCCACAATAGCGGCCTGTGGCTTCAAAATGTTGTTTGGCCGAGTGTAATTGATTTGTTATTCTCCCTTGATAATTCTAGAATACCCCGACCCAATGCAATGACCAAGAAATTAGTAATTAGTAATATGAGAAAAAGAAGCACCAATACATGTTTTTGTACTTGTGCTTTGTCTATACTCAAATTAAACCAGTATGTTTAAAACTTGTGGAACAATAGGAGATGGCGTGGATGTATTGATGATTGGTGCGGGCAGCAGCACTTTTCCTGTGCATGCGATGCGACTGTAGAGTACCAATTGCGTGCATAATCAGGTCAGTTCCCATGGTCCATGAACCAGTGGCACATGCCGATGAACTTCATAGGCTTCTTCATCTGTGGGCCAATATTTCTCATAGTTTTATGGTCCATACCTTTATTTTAGTTTGTCGTTTAATTTATAATTTTAAAATTTTAAGTTCTCTATTTTATAAAATTTATAATTTTAATCTCATAACTAGATGTTTATCTTGAAAGTTAAAATTATAATATTTATTACAATATGATATTAAATAGATATTATGACAAATAATATTTACTCCAACGGTGTTATATTGCAACAAAATTATTTTCACTTTTTACAAAAACGTGTGCAAGGCAAAATGAAATATAAACTTGTTTTTTTTTATCAACTTTTACATATTATTCAGCCTTACTTTATAGACTTCTTACATTAGATATAGAATTTGTTATTAAAGACGTTATTTTATATTAAAGATATTAGATAAAGTGATATTTTTTGACATCCATATATTGACCGCATACGGTGGTTCAATGGCTCGTACATTTAACAAAAACCGAAGTGACTAGGCTCAATTTTTGAAAAGCCAAAATTTTCGATTTGTTAATCTCTCTTCTCACTTATATTTTGTTTGGGGAGGGAAAGTGAGAGAATAAGGGAAAAATAATTTAATAAAATAATAGATAAAAAATAGTGTGAGATTTATAGTTATTGGATAGAATAAAATTAGGTGAGAATAGAAATTAAAGTTTTAAAATTGTATTTTATATAGTTTTAAAATTGTATTTTATATAGTTAAAAAATTGTAACAATAAATTATTTAAAATAATTTCTATTAAATAAATATATGAATTTATTATTTTATATTTTGTTAAATTATT